GACGTCGTTCCTTAGTTGTATTCTCGAGGCTTCTTGCCTTCTAATTATTGTTTATTTTCGTTCCGATCAACCTAGTTTTCCAATTTGTAAAGGTTGAGACGACTTCTTGTACTGAATCCTTTTTTTTATATATTACTCCTCATTTTATTTGGCTCTTGTTATGTTCCTGTAACGTTGTTCATGCATTCTTCGAGTTTTTACTTTGCAACTATGCGATTGTGGGTTTGTCGACATCTCCTTTGCTTACATATTTTGTAAGTGTTTTTGCAGCCGTAAACGGATTATATGAAATTTGTCGTTTGAGTTGACTTCTACAGTCGCAGGTTTTTCTAGCCTTGCCGAAATTTCACTCGAGGCATACAACTTTTGTTGTTTGAGTCGACTTTTATAGTCGTGGGCTTTTTAGCCTTGCCGAGATTTCACTCGAGGCATGCAACTTTTGTTGCTTGAGTCGACTTTTATAGTCGTCATGATTAGTCGGCGATATAGTCGTTTCGGAAAATTCAGTTTATCCAACAAATGTAAGAAAACAAAAACATATAGGCATCTCTGAAGAGAATATTCAAAATCCATTTCATTACTGAATATGATTTGATCGTGGTTCAGTACAAAAAGCAAATTTGAGAACATTATTAAGCATAAAAGCGCTTGAGATGGGTAACATGCCAAGATCGCGACAGTTGTCGTCCTTCCATATCTTCAAGTTCATATGCGCCTCTTTCGAGCACCTTGGTTACTGTGTATGGTCCTTCCCAGTTGGCTTCAAGCTTCCCGACATGTTTAAGGGCATCTGCTCGCTTGAGGACAAGATCTCCTACTTGAAACTGTCTTGTGCGGACTTTCCTGTCAAAGGCTGCCCGCATCTTTTGCTTGTATTCAACGGACCGCAGCCAAGCCTCCTCTCGCGTCTCTTCTATCATGTCGAGAGCTTCTTTTGCTAGCTCTTCATTGGTCCTTTCATCATAGAATGTCGACTTGTGTGATTGCAATCCGACCTCGACGGGCAGCAGGGCGTCCATTCCATAAACCATGTGGAACGGTGATTGTCCCGTCGAACTTCTCGGGGTCGTCCTATAGGCCCATAGGACCGTTGTCAACTCGTCGACCCAGGCACCAGATGCCTTCTCCAATCTTTTCTTCAGCCCTTGTAAGATGGTCCTGTTTGTCACTTCAACTTGGACATTCGCCTGAGGGTGCGCTACTGAGGCGAATCGCTGTTTGATCCCCATGTCGACACACCAAGCCTGGATCCGCTTTCCTTGGAATTGCGTCCCATTGTCTGAAATTAAGATCTTTGGAATCCCAAATCGGCAGCAAATGTTATTGAAAAGGAAATGTATCATTTTGTCTTCAGTGATTTTTGCCAGAGGTTCTGCCTCTACCCATTTGCTAAAGTAGTCGACGGCCACCACCATGAATTTTCGCTGCCTTGTTCCCATTGGCAAGGGGCCTACCAAGTCGATTCCCCATTGAGCAAAAGGGATCGGGCAGCTGATCATCGTCATCGCTTCGGCTGGAACATGGGGGATTTGACTATGGCGCTGGCATTTATCGCATTTTTGTACTAATCGCTCGGCTGCTTTTCCGATATTGGGCCAATAATAGCCTGCCCGAAGGGCTTTACCAGCTAGGGCTCGCGATCCTACGTGTGCCCCGCAACATCCTTCATGGATTTCTTTCAAGACATGGTCCCCTTCTCTCTCAGAAACGCATCGCAGGTGGGGCCCGATCATCGACTTCTTATATAAGACTCCTTCGATCTCAAAATATTTACTCAAATATCGGGCCACTTTCTTGGCCTCCTGTTTATCTCCTTCTGGCACTCGACTTTGTAACAGTTCGAGAATCGCCTTTCGCCAATCTTGGTTTTCGTCGACCTCCATTGTCTCACTGAGGACACTCCCTTCCAAGTGTAGTGTGGTAATATGATTTCCCATTTTTCCTTCATTTGAGCTCGCAATTCTTGCGAGCCAATCGGCCCGCTTATTCTCTTCTCGGGGTACTTGCGTTAGCTCAAAGCTGTCCAAGCCTCGCACTAGGCTCTGAATTTCTTCGACATACTTCGTCATTCGACCTTCTTTGATTTCGCAATTCCCCAATACTTGCCCCACTACCAGTTGTGAGTCAGAATGCGCCATGATTTCCGTCGCTCTGCCCGCGATTGCCAGTTGGATTCCCTTAATTAGGGCCTCATATTCTGCTTCGTTGTTGGATGCTTTAAACCCCATTCTGATGGCGAAGTCGAGCTGCTCGCCTTCGGGGGACATTAGGGTTACCCCTAGACCAGATCCCTTAGCTGACGAGGACCCGTCGACGTGCATCATCCATTTCTTGCTTTCCCCTTTGGTCCCTTCTTGGATAAAGTCGGCTAGAGCTTGGGCCTTTATAGCCCGTCGGGGTTCGTATTTGATGGAAAATTCACTGAGTTCGACTGCCCATTTTACGAGTCGACCTGACACAGTAGGTCGACCCAAAGTCTCACCGAGCTGGAAATTCGTCCTTACTATAACCACATGATTCAGGAAATACGGCCTCAACTTTCTGGCTGTGAGCATCAATGTTAATGCGGCCTTCTCGACCTCGGGGTATCTTGCTTCTGCGCCCTGAAGGACTCGACTTGTATAATAGATCGGCTGTTGAGCCCCTTCAGTCTCTCGTAGCAACACTGAACTCAAGGAGAACACTCCCACCGAGATATAGAGCACCAACTCGTCGCCCGGTTCTGGCTTTGTTAACAATGGTAGCTCGCTCAAAAACTCCTTCAATTTTTCAAACGCCATCTGAGCTTCGTCGCCCCACTGGAAAGCTTTTTTCTTGAGTAACTTGAAGAAAGGGAAGCTCCTTTCCGCCGCCTGAGCTATGAATCGACTTAGGCCTGCAATTCGGCCTGTCAGGACTTGTACTTCTCTAACATTCTTTGGCGGGGTCATGTCGAGTATGGCTTGCACTTTATCCTTATTCACTTCGATGCCTCTTTCAGTTACGATATAGCCCAAGAATCGCCCCGCCCTTACTCCAAAAGCACATTTACTCGGATTCAGTTTCATTCCAAATGTTCTTAGTATCGTAAATGCTTCCCTTAAGTCTCCCACATGCGAGATCGAAGACCTACTTTTTACCAAGATATCGTCCACGTAAACTTCCATATTCCGCCCGATCTGTGATTTGAACATTCGATCCATCAACCTTTGGTATGTTGCCCCTGCGTTTTTGAGTCCGAACGGCATAACGACATAACAATACGTCCCTCTGCTCGTCACGAAGCTAACTTTGCTTTGATCCTCAGGAGCCAAAGGAATTTGGTGGTACCCCTGGGACGCGTCCATCATGCTTAACAGTTGACAACCAGCAGTAGAGTCGACCAGCTGGTCGATTCTCGGCAGGGGGTAGTGGTCCTTCGGGCATGCTGAATTTAGATCGCGGAAGTCGATACACATACGCCATTTATTTAGCGCTTTCCTTACCATCACCGTGTTCGATATCCATTCTAGGAATTGAATTTCTTTGATGTGTTTGGCTTTCAACAACTTGTCCACCTCGACTTCTATGGCTTTGTCGATTTCTGCACCATGGTGTCTAAGCCGTTGCTTCACGGGATTTTTCAGGGGGTCGACATTAAGCTTATGCTCCATGACATCGGGATCGATTCCTGTTAACTCTTCAGGGGAGAAAGCGAATATGTCTCTGAATTCTTTCAGCAGCCCTACCAACTGTCGGCGTAATTCTTCCTCCAGTTCTCGCCCTATTTTCATAGTCTGCTCCTCTTTCTCCCCGATTTGGATTTCCATCAATTCCCCATGTGGCTCAAGGTCGTTCTCCCTTCGTCTTTTCTCAGTTGATACCAACTTTTTTCCTTCTTTCACCTCTGTCCGTTGGTTCGTCCTTACTGCAATCTGATAGCAGGTTCTCGACAGCCTCTGGTCACCTCGGGCCTCTCCTACCTTATCTCCGACAGGGAATTTCATCTTCATATGATAGGTTGACACTACCGCTTGGAATGCGTTGAGTGCTGGCCTCCCCAGAATCACATTATAAGCCGACTCGACGTCGACCACAACAAATCGCACCATTTTTACTTTCCTTAAGTCGCCTTCCCCGAGAACGACAGCGAGATTGGTTTCTCCCAGGGGGGCGACTTCTGAGCCATTAAATCCAAAAAGTGAAGTGTGGAGAGGTGAGAGTTCAATGTCGAGTTCCATCCGTTTAAGGCAATCAAAAAATATCACATTCACCGAGCTCCCCGTGTCGACAAAGATTCTCTGGACTTCGTAACCCGATATTTGGGCTGTGATCATCAAGGCATCGTTATGAGGTCTCTCAACTGCTCCTACGTCAGCTGGTCCGAAATTCATCACTGGACCATCCTCTTCGACCTGCTGCACTTCGGTTTTTCCATGATGCCCTCGAGCATATGCTTTTCTAGCCCGGTTCGAATCGCCATCAGTTGGCCCTCCAAATATCATATGAATTACTCCTCTTTTTTGGGGAAGCTCTTCCTTATCGGGTGTTCTCGCCCTCTTGTGGGGGCTTTTGCTCTTCTCCCTTCGTCGACTTGGTCGCTCTCGATCTTTATAAACGAACTCCTTCAGATGACCTGCTTTGATTAATCTCTCAATTTCGTTTTTCAAGTGCCGACATTCATCGGTGTTATGGCCGTAGTCTTTGTGGAATCGACAATACATGTTACTTTTAGGTTTTGTCGGCCCGTCCTTTCTCGTTTGTGGCCACCTGACAACGTTGTCACGGATCTCTCTCTCCATAACCTCCAGTATCCTTGCACGCGAGGCCGACAGAGGAGTATATTGGGCTGTCCTCCACCCCCTTGATCGTCCCTCTCTCTCGGCTCTTGGGGATCCTTTCCTTTCAGTAGTTGCGACAAGCTTTTTGTCCTTCTTCTCGTCCCGAGGCTCAGTTTTCGGCTTAGCCGCTTGCATAAAATCGGCTTCGGCTTCCTCGACATTCATGTACTTGGCGCACCTTCCCAATACTTCATCAAACGTCCTCCCAGGCCGTTTTGCTAGGGAATTTCTGCACAATCCCGGGAGTAGCCCTCGAGTGAGTCCTCCCGACTTGATCTCCTCAGTAGCCGAGGGGACGTCGACACATGCCCTTGTGTACCTCGCTACGTAGTCCCTCAATGATTCCCCTTCCTTCTGCTGCATACCTATCAAAGTAAGGTACGACTTTTCTTGGGCTTTCACACTTGCGAATTGGTTTAGGAAACTCGAGCTAAATGCATCGAAATCCCTGACGGCCCCCGGGGGCAATTGATGGAACCAATCCTGCGCGGGCCCTCGCAGGGTCGTCAGAAATGCTCGACACTGAACGGGGTCGTTGTATCGGTGCAATACTGCCATGTTTTCGAAACTTCTAAGATGTCGGGAGGGATCAGTCGACCCGTCATACCAGATATTAAGCTCCCTGAACCCTTGAGGCAAGTCGGCATCTAGAATATGTTGGGAAAAAGGGTGCCCCCTCGAGTTTCCTGTCTTCCTTCCTTCGACCCGAGCCTGTAAGTCTCGGACCTGCGCTAACAACTGCTCCAGCGTGTCGTTTCTGGCTTGTGGATTGACGGTTCTGACAGAGGACTCCTCCTCGTCTATCCTCATGTTTTGCCTTTCATGCGATTGTGCCTGTTGTTCGCGCTCAGGGAGTTGCTGCTCATTTTGGGGTTGTTCGACCCTCGCTTGCTCGATCCTGGGCCGCTCGACTCTTGGTTGTTCGACTGGCGTCTGTTTGAGTTGGGCCGCTACTGCCTCCGCGATCATTCTCTGCATCTCACTTCTCGTCACGGTCGGCGTTTGTTCCTCGCCTTGGGGCGGTGGCCTTGTCTCCTGGTCAAGTTGTCCAGGTTGCCTCCCCATCCTTAGAGAGATTTCGGTTGATGCGTGATCGCCTACCTCTCCGCTTGTGTCCCTCACGTGACTGGCCTCCCCCTGAGTGAGAACCGGGATCTTGACTCTGGGTGGGGTAACAGGCGTCTCTTCTCCCGTACGCCCTCCTGACGGCGCGTGTGCCCCAAAAGGTGGGAACCCCAGCACCTGGAGTGGTGGTCTAAAGCTGGGAATCGGCGGAGGTCGCTTGTCCGTCCATGTTGCCCTGAAGTCCTCATTCAAGTTTTTCTGCACTCCTTCCTTCTCAGCCATCGGAAACAGATCAAAGCTAGGTGTAAAGCTCTTAATTCCTTCAAAGGCTCCCCACAGACGGCGCCAAAATGATGGGTCTCTTCTCAGATCTGGAACGGTCCATTGGGAAAACGTTCGGATCTGGGACGAACCGGTGCGAATGAACTTAGATCTGATGTGATGGCGTTCGAACCGTTGTTGAGCCGCAAGAACACCTGCAAGAACTCAACACCGGAGGGGTTTCCGGCGTAGAGCCTCCGACGCTCAAGTCAGTATATGAGAGGGATGATGGGAGCTGCTATGAGAGCAGCAGCAGTAATGAAAAGGGTATGGAATGAATGGGAGTTAGGGTTTTGGGATTACCTCAGTCCTTTATATAGAAGTGCAATATTTACCTGAATTCCCCAAAGTGCCCCGGCCGACTCAATGGAAATGTCCAGAATGCCCCGGTCGGTTTGCATTCTGCCCACTTCCTAGTCAGCATCTAGATCCTTCCTTAGTTTCATTCTTATCCTTAACTCTTCTTCAATATGCTAAGGTGTGTCAAAGCTATCGGGAACCACGAACTGCAAGACTCCTTCGGTCGACTTGAGGTATTGAGTCGAGTCGACTGGATCGCACCCCACCATCAGTGGACCCTGATACGTCTGATCGCAGTCTTGCCAGAGGTCGACTTGTTCTAGTAGACAGGTGTACGTCGACTCGGTCGGGAACCGGGCTTCTTGATTGAGTACCGTGGAACCTTACTGGCGGAGTCGACCGTGTTGAAATCGACTTGGCAGTTTCGAACCGTGATGATATGAATCGTTATTCGACAGTATGGCTATATCAAATACTTAATTAAAACATACCTTAAGGTAGAGCGGCATGACGGAGACGATTGGTCAACACCAGGTCAGAATCACATAATCACATATAAACCAGCCTACAGAAACGCAGACTGGCCATGATACCATACTGTAACACCCCACTTTGATTTCAATGAAATCTCGGGCTTTCCAAAAATCAAGTAAACAATTTTCGAAATCATTTCAAAAAATTCATGGGTGTTAAACAACAATTTACTTAGTCCAAGTCTTATCTGGACCCACGGGGATTCATAAACCTGATTTTTCACAATGGTTTCCATTAACCGGTTCCCAACACATAACATAATACTCAGCTTTAATCATAAAGCATGCATAATTTGGAATTCCATAAATCCAAACATCATGAGTGATTCAAATCCAACATAAACCAAAACATAAGTTCGAAACGATTTTTCAACAAGTCTCAACATAATTCATGATAATACGGAAGCAATAAAATAACTAAGGACCACCCACTCGTCTCACTTCGTCACCCGCCAACTGCTTAACCTGCATCCGTGAAGAGCAGGTGGGAATGAGCACAAATGATAAAGTAGTGCTCACTACTATGCACATAACAACATGTAAAGATGGTATGGTCACAACATGAATATAAATCAATCATCATCATGTCTCATCTCCTAATAATCACAACAATAACTCACTCATGTGCACATCTATCATTAGCCGGAAAGGAGATGCATAAACCCTAACGACGGGAGTGCGTGCCACTGTAACGGACACGGCCTTTCATTAGGTCTTAAGGAGACTTGTCTCGCAAGGGCAACCGTACCGTAGCTCGACGGGGACAATCGTACCGACGGCCGTAACAGCTCACATTGGTAGGCCACATGGTTCACATTCATACATTGGTCATACCAACTAAACATTAATCAACACGTATGGCATATACAACTTTATAAGTAAACCCACCTAGACGATAACAAGCGAAAGCACAACAATAACGGGTAGACGGCGAGCTCGGCTCGTCAAGCACCTACATTTATTAAAATAGTCCTATAAATGACTATTCAACATATTAATAACTAATCATAAAAATCACTTAGTCCAACTAAGCTCACATACTCATTTAATCAAAGAAATCCCATTTCCAAAATACCACGTATGTTTTTCAAAGCTTAACTCGAGCAGCGCTTTTGAAATCAACATAACTTTCAGTACAAAACTCGGATGAACATGATTTAAGTTGCACTGGAAATCTAAGACATGCATCTACAATTTTTATGAAGACACCGAAAGCAAATGAGGTCGTGTACTAGGAATTAAATCATCAAACATTCAAAACTGAGTTGCAGTAAAAAAAAAAAAAATCGAGAACTTGTAACCGACCAGACTTCAGTATTTACTAGATAACTGGAGCTACAAACATGTTTTTAATGAGATTCAAAAACCATGTGATAGCTAACTTAAATGTCTACAACTTTTCTAAAGACCACTTTTGCAAATAATCACTTTATAAATGAGTTTGGACACAAAACATTCGGTTCAAAAAGTCTGCCCGAGACTAAAGTGTGATATAAACAGCACCTCAGTATTTATCCTCTAAATCGTGCTACAGACCTCTAAATTACATGATTCTAGTATGCTTAGAAAGCTAAGAAATAGCCCTACAAAGAACACAAAAGAAGATAAGGTCTTTAAGATGGTGTAAAATCTACTAACATTTAAAATCAGTTTTCTGCCAAGGTGTAAAACCCTACTTCATATATATCTACAATCATATGAACACAACTCGAGCTATAGATATCACCTCAGCATGAATCCTATCTCATTAGAAAGCTAATCGACAGAACTATAACTTTTATGAAGACTACAAATTCACTAGATCACATTATGACACCATAAACAGGCCAAACATTATATAGACTCATGTTGTCGGCTCAAGAAAAACTGCTTGCGCACTCGTTTTATAAAAATCATAACTCACTCGATATAATTCGGATTCATGAAATTCCAAAGGCTAGAGAAAGCTAACAAGACGAACTATATTTCACATGAAGAACATATTTTCAGAAAACAATTGCTTGAAGTCATAACAGAGGAACCTTACCTCTTTCAAGAAAATGAAAATGTGGAGAAATGGAAGAGGTGTTGCTCGGTTCTTCTACTTCTCTCCCTATCTTGCTTGAAATCCGATTTTATCTCTATTTGCTCAAGTTATTCAGGTTTTTAATGGTCTAATACAGCTAAGGAATGAAACACAAGAACATGATAAGAGGGGACATAAGATCTAGATCTCATCTAAACCTAAAACTAATATTTTACCAACACATGATGCCAAAAGAGAGTAATATGGTTCTCTAACTCATGCATAAGTATGGATTCAGTTTTGGTACTTAAAATGGCTGAACAAAACTTATTAACTTTGGTTTTGATGCCTACTAAAAGGATTGAGAAGAAAATAAATTTTACGGAACCGAAATCGGACTTAAAATCCGACAATAATTAAAAACTGAAGAATTTGACTACAATCAATTTTTTTCCTCTTCTAATTCGGTTTTTATGGATAAAAATACTATTAAAGAGATGGTAATGTAATAGTCTTAAGGTCTTGTTGATTCGTTTTGATGTTCGGGTCGCAACGATTCTAAAACGAATTCAAACGAACAACAATTCGGCTTACGCGATTAAACCGAAAATTC